TGCCGCGCCGCGTCGCGCGACCAACAAGAGAACGTCCCCTATGTTCCCACGCGCTCTCACACGTCCCCGCCGATTTCCCGCCGCCAGGTGGCGTGTCGAACCAGACGATCCCGATCGTGTTGCCCCTGACGACGGCGGACAAGCAGCGTCTGGCGGGCGCGCCGGCGTTTGCGCTGCACCACGGCGGGAAGCTGCGAGCGGTGATGCGAAACCCGGAGTTCTACGAGCATCGCAAGGAGGAGCGGTGCGGCCGTCAGTTCGGGCTCTGCAACCCGGGCCACCCCTACGTCAAGGTAGCCTAGTTTCTACGTCAAGGTAGCCTAGTCTCTACGTCAAGGTAGCTTAGTCTCTATGTGAAGGTAGCGTAGTCTAATGTTAAACCCGGGCCACCCCTACGTCAAGGTAGCCTAGTCTCTACGTCAAGGTAGCGTAGTCTAATGTTAAACCCAGGCCACCCCTAAGTCAAGGTAGCCTAGTCTCTACGTCAAGGTAGCTTAATTAGTCTCTATGTGAAGGTAGTGTAGTCTAATGTTAAACCCGGGCCACCCCTATGTCAAGGTAGCCTAGTCTCTGCGTCAAGGTAGCTTAGTCTAATGTTAAACCCAGGCCACCCCTACGTCAAGGTAGCCTAGTCTCTACGTCCAGGTAGCTTAGTCTCTATGTGAAGGTAGCGTAGTCTAATGTTAAACCCAGGCCACCCCTACGTGAAGGTAGCCTAGTCTCTACGTCAAGGTAGCTTAGTCTATTGTTAAACCCAGGCCACCCCTACGTGAAGTCAGTATACATCGAAGCATGGTGGAGGGTAGAGGGTAGGGGAGGTACTTACGGGAAGGTAGCCTAGTCTAATGTTAAACGCGGGCCACCCCTACGTGAAGGTAGCCTATGTTGCAGCGACACATGGTAGAGGGTAGGGGAGGGACCTACGTGACAGGAGTTTTGTCCCTACGTGAAAGTATAGTCTAATCTAATGTAAAACCCGGATTATGTGCCCATGTGCCTACCATTATCACGTGAGCTCGGATCATAATCGCCCTCGTTTTCCGTCGTCATTTTGCCAGATGATCATGGAGAGCGGTGATTGGCTGGCGGGCGGCGACATTGAGGTCGTGGAGCGAATCAAGTGGAACGACGGCCTCGACAAATACCGTCTCACGCCGAACGAACTGCGTGCGAAATTCCGCGAGATCAACGTAAGCAGACGACAATATATATACATAAATATATACATACGTATATATATATACACATACATATATATATATATATATATAAACATACATATATTCATATATATATAGAGATATAGAGTCTCTATTCTCTACTCCTGATATATTTATATATATATATATATGCATATGCATATAAACATGTATATGCTAATTATTTGCTACTTAATCAGAGTATACTAGTATACTAAATTCATAAAATCCACACAAGTAAGGAGTTCATAAATGAGTGAATAATGAGTGCCATTAAAAATCGTTAAGCGGCGTTCTGCTCGTTACCTGCGCGTTGTCGCCCTGTCTATCCCGCGTTCACGACGAGTGTTTCTCTCTCTCCCGCGGCGCATTGCCGTGGTTACAGGCGGACGCGGTGTTCGCGTTCCAGCTGCGTAACCCCGTGCACAACGGGCACGCCTTGCTGATGACGGACACGCGGCGCCGCCTGCTGGAGCGTGGATACAAGAACCCCGTGTTGCTGCTGCATCCGCTCGGTGAGTAGCCTAAACACACTCTAACACTTATCCTAGATCCTCTAACACCTATCCTATATCCGCTAACACTTATCCTAGAACCTCTAACACCTATCCTATATCCGCTAACACTTATCCTAGAACCTCTAACACCTATCATAGAACCTATGTATTATGTATCGTGCTATTATTAGTGTAATGATTGTAAGCATCATCTTCATCATCATCATCAAAGATTCCTTAAAAGATCGGCGTTAGCAATAATAAATCGTTGAGCCAAAAATAGATATAAATATAAAATAATAATAAAATATATATAAAAAATAAATATAAATAATAATAAATTTGAAAGAAAAGATGTTAGCGATCGATTCCGATTTTCGCCGCCAGGTGGCTGGACGAAGGACGATGACGTGCCACTGGACGTGCGCATGAAGCAGCACACGGCCGTCATGGAGGAGGGCGTGCTCGACCCCAAGTCCACCGTAGTCGCCATCTTCCCCTCGCCGATGATGTACGCCGGACCGACCGAGGTGAGGAGGAGGCGGGGTCGCGTGGTCACCGGCGGTCGTCGTGGTGACCGCATTTCGGGGGGATCACGTTTTGTGGCGATCACGTTTCGTGGCAATCACGTTTTGTGGCGATCACGTTTCGTGGCAATCACGTTTTGTGGCGATCACGTTTCGTGGGGATAACGTTTCGAGGCGGTCACATTTCGTGGGGATAACGTTTCGTGGCGGTCACGTTTCGAGCGAGGAGAAATGAAATGGAAGTGTGGCAACGAACGCGAAATACAAAATACTGGAGCATATAAAAAATAAACTGTTACGAGAATTCTAATCGACGATCGTCGGAATTTGAATCGATTCAGGCTTCAGCCAATTAAAGAATGAGTAAAGCAATTAGCAAAAGAGTAAAGCGCTGAAATAATTAACATCAGAAAATAGTCGCTGTCGCCAACTCCTGCGACGTCCGCTTGTTTGCTAACAGCGCCATCTTGTGTCGTATGTTCAGGTTCAGTGGCACGCCAAGGCACGGCAGGCGACCGGCGCACACTTCTACATTGTGGGGCGCGATCCGGCGGGCATGGCGCACCCGGACACAAAGGAGGACCTCTACCACGCACAGCATGGCAGGAAGGTAAGTGAGCTCCCGTCGCTCCCCGCTGGGCCCCGTCACTCCCCGCTGGGCCTCGTTGTCGCTGCGGGTGTCAGCGGGAGTTGCGCTGGCACGGCGTCGGTCGAACGGCGAGCGGCGCGCTCGAATTTGTGTTTTGCAGATTTTAGAATTTGGTGTAGGGTGTAGATTTTAGGGGTTGCTGTTGGTTGGGGGGCTAGGGGATGCGTTTGTGTGTCAGGAAGGGTGGTCTTGCTGTCGGACCTTCCATGTTTTGAGTCGAAGAACTTCTGTTGCGCGGCGCAAACTAGAATCTCTCGCGCTTGGGACGCAAGTATATCGTTCGTGTATCGGTGTTTTTCTTTGTCTTGCGAATTTCCCCAACCCTTTTCGAATTTTCTACTGATGAAATTAATTCACGAGTACGTAATGTACGTAATGCTATTGATTCACGAATAATGCTATTAATTAATAATTAATAATTAATTATTAATTTCGTATGCTATTAATCAATTCATAAGTACGTAAATGTGCGTGTGAGTACGTAATGCTATTGATTCATGAATAATGCTATTAATTAATAATTAATAATTAATTATTAATTTCGTATGCTATTAATTAATTCATGAGTACGTAAATGTGCGTGTGAGTACGTAATGTACGTAATGCTATTGCAAACGACGTCAATCATTTCGTACCGCATCTCGATTCGTTAAAAACGTGAACGTCCGACTTTGCGCGTCACGTAACAACTATAACGACCGACGTCATCAACGATATCACGCCACGCCGACGCGATCCGTCGACGACAAGCGAACATCTAACGCCACATCTTACCCTCATCCTCTCCCCTCGCTCGCTCGCAGGTGCTGACGATGGCACCGGGCCTGACGCAGCTTGAGATCGTGCCGTTCCGCGTCGCCGCCTACAACACGAAGAAGGGCAAAATGGACTTCTACGACCCCGACCACAAGCCCGACTTTCTCTTCATCTCGGGGACCAAGATGCGCGGGATGGCGCGCGACAGGATCGAGCCACCGCCCGGCTTCATGGCGCCCAAGGTGAGAGTGCGCGTGCGTGCGTGCGAGCGAGGCGATTAGTTTTCGTCTGCCGCACGAGAGTGCCTTATTATATATAATATAATTATTATATTAATTATTAATTATTATTATTATTGTTATATTTATTACTTCTGGGTCTGTAGTTTCCCCCTCGTAGGCGGTGAACCCTAACAAAGATTTTTTTGTTTGAGACGTGTTCCGAAGGTGGGAGCGCATGGCGTGTCCTTTCTTGCCGGAGTGTATGTCCCCCCCCCCTTCGTCTGTAGTGTCCGTTTAGCGTGTGCTGGAGTGTCAGTTAGAAACAAAGCAAGAGTGATGATTACGACTGTCGTCAGTCTAAAACTCCTTTGCGACGCTTGGCCTCGAAGGTTTATCGCGTTTTAGACTGGAGAGATCGTAACTGTCACCAGCAGGGATCGTAACTCTTAGTGGCAGGGGGGTCCGGGGGGGTCCAATCAAAATCAAAATCCCCCCAAAAAAATTTTGATCCAAAAAAAATCCCAAAAAAAGCTGCACAATAAATAGTATTGTCAACAAAACAGGGTCTAAATTGATTTTAAAGGACTATTTTTACATTTAACTCAAAAAAGAAATTTCAGACCACCAGAGCTTGAGGACCCCCCCAATCCAAATTCCTGGCTACGCCCTTGTTACACGCAGTGTCTCCTCCCCTGTTTCAGGCGTGGAAGATCATGACCGAGTACTACCAAACTCTGCAGAAGAAGTAAAAACACCAAGATGGGACCTATGTGCGACGCGCCGGGTGACTGCGACACACTCAAACCCGATCGGGTCAAGATGGCCGCCGCAACCTTCGCGCGTCTGGCGCGGAGTCGAAAGACGCAGCTGCATTGGACTTGTTTAATGCGCACATTGTGTTTTCCCGAAAGGGCCGATCGCGCCCTTGGTGAGGTGGGTGGGTGGGGGGGCTAGGGCATGCTTCATAGGCTCAGATTATACGGCCGAGCTCCGTAGAGACCAAGCTTATTTTTTAGGCACGTTTGCGTGTGCGCTCGTTTGTGTTTTTCGCTGCACTCTTCTCCCAATACGCGGGAAATGAGCAAATCTAAAAGTTCGGTTTTGTTTCAGCTTGATGCGATGGCGAGGCACTGCGATTGGTTACTATGTATCGTATCGCGTATGTCGTAGACGTATTTATATTATATATATGTACGTGCGTGCGTGCGTGTGCACAGGTGCGTGCGTGTAAATGTATATGTACATAATATACATGTTTTTGGCAGTATGTGATTGTATATATACGTACACATATACGGACATAAACATGTGTATATGTATATCTACATAATATACATGTGTTTTGGCAGTATGTGATTGTATATATACGTACACATATACGGACATAAACATGTGTATATGTATATATCTACATAATATACATGTGTTTTGGCAGTATGTGGTTGTACACATATACGGACATAGACACGTTTCTATGTACATATACATTGCACGCATATGTTGGTTGTATCTGCCTCGAGACGAACTCTCGTATCTGCACCGTTTCTACTCGAGAGTGTGGCTGTGATACGATGATTGGCTCAGGGTGGGTTACATACTCGCGCCACTCTTTTATATAAACCTCCGACGACGAGTCGATAATGCAATAAAGATGAACTTGACCGAACAGAAGCGACGCTTTCGTTAGTTTCTCTCCTTCTTTTCTTTTAACGGAAGTTTCTGTGCATTTGTCGAAACGAGAAAATTGTGCATATGACGGACATTTGTAGAAGTGGATCAGGGGCAGGGGTCTCGATCATATTCACAAATTGGCTATTGACCAATACAGTAATATCTACATTAGTCTGGGAAAGAGGGGAAACTGTCCGTTTGCCCTGCCTCGATCCTGCTAGCACATCTACACTAACCTCGTAAATCTTCAAAGTCAAAGGGGGGTCATTCCCCTATTAGTATTAATGTTATCTATTACTATTAATATAATAATATAATAATTAATATAATAATTACACAGTGGCTATATGCCCGGCAGCCGGCGTATATCTGACGGCTGCCGGGCACGGTCTTCGATTTCCTAAATGCCCGGCAGTTTTTAATTTTTAGCGTTATCTCAAGTAAACAAGGGTTAGGGTTAGAGTTAGGATTAGGGTTAGGGTTAGGTTTAGGGTAGCTCTAGTACTATAGCCCGCAGGATCGCTGCCGCAGGCCTGCAGCATTTCTTATATAGTACAGGCCCGTAGGCCTAGCCAGCTTTATTATTTATATTGGGGGGTTTCGTTTTTCAATGTTGGCAATTTGCTCGGCAGGGGCGTGTACAGGATTTGTACCAGAGGTGGGTCTAACCGTAACCAAAAGTTGCGAGCACGCGAAAGGGGGGTCTGGTGTCTAAAATTTTTTTAAATTAGACCCCCTCAGATGCGTTTTCTGCACGAGCAAGGGGGGGTCCGGACTACCTGGACCCCCTCTGTACACGCCCCTGCTCGGGCGCGAAGCCACCAGGCGAGGGAGCCAAGCGACCGAGCGGGGGGAGGGTGTGGGAGGGGGGTGTTTACTGTTCACCCTCCCGCACGATGGAGATTTTGCAATTATTAGATTTATTACACTAAAATGGAGCGACCTGAGGTAAAATTCTTGCAAATTTTCCAAAAAATTATATTCCTGTATAGTACGTACTCTTACCCTTATATAATACGAGTATCGCTATTAAAGGGATCCTTTAAGTTTAAAGGCGGCACCTGACAAAAGTAATGATATAACGCTCAGATGCGCAAGTGCAATTAACGAACAGCTATAGGCTTCATCAAGCATGAGGAAATGCCAATCTTTACCTGACCCATGACAAATTAACGAAAGACGACACATGGCGAAAGCGGACACGAAGAGGAGGCCAATCAAGTTGAGCCAAAACAACAGAACATATCATGATAGTTTTTGGAAACCCATATCTCACAAATTTATGCTGAATGGCATCCAATTTAAAACAGTTCTGATTGAAGAGTATAGGGGCACTATAGAGGGGAACTGCCCCTTTTGCCCCGCCTCCTTCTAGCTATACGGCCTGCGTAGAATGATGCAAGAAAAAAAGTATCATTTTTATCTGACACTTGCATATTTGACGAACTAGGTCTAATAGCCTATAGTTCTTCCTGATTCGTTGGTAAGAGCTAGGTTTAAAAAAATCTGTTTTGCTTACACATCGCGTATGATATATCGTCTGCTTAAAAACACGATACAAAATTCACGACAAGAACGTGATTTACTCCCAAGATTGCATGCGACACATTTTAATGTAGTACTAGCATGAAACCAGGAAAACAGCTAATATACAATAATAACGCGTGTGATTAGGAGATAAATGATATATTTACTAGCGTTAACTAATACAGATATTAAAAATCAAATGAATCAACACGATTTCAACCAGAAATAGATGAGTATATATTCGTTTAATAAATATTCCACATAACATAGTTTGAGCAGTATGTAATCTTAAAACCTAAAACACCCAGAATACAGATCTATGTAAAGAAATATTTTAAGGATGGAATTGTATGTTAAATTAATTTAGCAAGAGGCAATCCAATTCAACTATACATCAAAAAACAAAGTGGAGATTCATGATCAAAAATCCGAACATTGAATAACAAGAGATTTGCGGCTTTGGTATTAACATTAAAAAAATGAGGAGAAATCAAGTATTTCAATTATGTAAAAATGAAAAGTGTCGACTAAATGGTGTAACATGGGTTAGACAACGATTTCATGAGCACACATACATATATATATATATATATATCATATATATCCTACGAGATTTACAGTATATTAGCACCCACATGTACCACCACACAAAACTACAAACATTCTGAACTTTATATCTATATATATTATATATATTCCATTCATGGACACACTCGTTCTGTTCACAGCCACACTACATGCAAGAACGATATAATGTCAATGTTAATGCATAGGTCCCTAATTTAACGTAAGTCTGCATGCCAAATCGCGCGATCATATCCAATGCAACAATGATAACCTGATAACCGCCATTGAGAAAATCCGTTACAATACAGAACAATGTTCGTGTGAGACCGCAAACCGAATATGGGAAGAAACCATCTCGAACAGTGGCGTCGGGTGGAAACGTTATGGCCCGTTTAATTATATAGTGTTATCATAATTAATTATATTTAATTAATTTAAATGCTGTGCGTGCAATGAGTGGCCAAGTGCGGCGTTGGTGTACATCCCCCCCTTATGCCAAACGCCACCCCCACCCCACTACATTGCAGATGGGCAATAAACGTCAAGTACCCCTGCACGTGTTACAGTGTTCAGAGTCACACTCACAGTTACGACGCGCTGCGTACCAGCCGTGCCCGTGCGCAATGTCGGGTGTTTGCCACATGGGTGGATGTGTATATATATACGATGCCACACGGGCACAGCTTACACTACCCGAGCAGATGCAGGGTTCGCGCGCGCGAGATTAGAGCTACGTCTCGCGGGGCGAGAGTGAGTCACGCGCGAGGATTGCGCTTTTTACCGATAGATCGCCAGATGTGAATATGTCGACTGCATAACGTGGCGCCATCTGCAGGCCCGATATTGGGATAAATGCCTTGAGAGAAATGACGGCTGAAATAATGCCCTGGAATTGTGTCGGACAAAATTGTTCAAAGAAACGGCCCGCGCAAACCGACTCCCTGTGTCTAAGGTCGTGCCCTCTTGTGTCGAAAGTAGTGACCTCTTGTGTCTAAGGTCGTGCCCTCTTGTTTCTAAAGTTGTGACCTCACGTGTCGAAGGTCGTGACTTCTCGTCGTGTCCTTTACTCCACGGTGACGGATTTCGCCAAGTTTCTCGGCATGTCCACCTGAAAAATAGTGAGTGTGCTAATTGACAATGAGGCTCTGATGCAGATTCCTGACAATACAGTAATTAAAGAGGGAGCTGTCTAATTAATTTCTGACAATACAGAGGAATTAACGGTCACTGGTCAACTGAACCTAACTGACCACATAATAACTCGCACGTAGCACGCAGCATGGACATCTGGTAGGAGCAGGGGCGTGTACAGGATTTGTACCAAGGGGGGGGGGGTCTAACCGTAACCCAAACTTGCGAGCACGCGAAGTCAAAAATTTTGAAATTACACCCCCTTAGATGCGTTTTCTGCGCGAGCAGGGGGGGGGGGGTCCGGACCCCCTGGATTACCTACTGATCCCGTAGCGACCGCTCAATAACTCACGTTACTAAATCAACTACTAATACTACTGAATAACTAAACCCAACTACTGTCCGCACACTCATGTTGCAGCCGCCCAACACGGCTATGTAGCAGCAGAACTCCCTGACCACTGATCACTTAAACCTGTCTACTATCTATCAATAATATATCAATCTATCTATATCTATCGATAACTCACGTTGCAGCCGCGCAGCACAGCCATGTGGTAGGACAGCAGCTGCAGAACTCCCTGACCACAGATCACCTACGAACCACTGGTCACCTACTAAACACTGGTCAGGCCAAAACAAAAATATAGGTGTGCGTGACCGTTTCATGCCCGAAAAAAATAGGTAGGTAGGCAGGGAAACATTTTATTTTATTGAAACATTTTATTTACGAACGCATGTCGAAGGATGCGGTTGTGCTTTTTGAAGCAGGAACTGTCCAATTCATATTTTTCTTTATTTTTTTTTTAAATAAAAATTTTTTTTTTTTTACTTTAAAGAAAATTGACAATAAAATGTTTAGGGTCGCTGGGAATAAATAGGGTCGGTCGGGAAACGGTAACCACACCTATATTTTGTTTTGGCCTCACCTACATGTTAACCACACACTCACGTTGCAGCCGCGCAGCACAGCCATGTGGTAGGACAGCAGCTGCAGCGGGATGACGGACAGCACGCTCTGCAGGCAGTCGACGGTGTGCGGCACCTCGATCGTGTGATACGCGTGCTTTCTCGTCTCCTCGTCGCCCTTCTCCATGATGACGATCGGGCGGCCCTCGCGCGCCGTCACCTGCAGCAGCGCGTTCATGCACTTCTGCAACGACAAGAGAACGGTGGCGGCGGGCGGTCGTGCGTCGTGGTGCGGTGCGCGAAGGTGGTTGATGTCGTCGTTCGATCGAGTTGAATAGCGATTGAACGATCGGTAAAAGAAGTAGTTATAGTATATATATATATATATATAGATATTTAGAAATATATAGTATTAGATATAAATAATTCATAACATGATTTATTAATTATTGTATAATTAATTAATAATTATTATATAAAATAATGTGTGAAATAAATAAATTAGTAAATGGACTGCTCTACTTCCGCGTCACATCCGAGTTTTGAATAAACTGTTGCCGTGGCGACGACAGGGCGGGCAGACGCTTACCGAGTAGACGTTGTCGCGTGCGACTATCATCAGGACCGGCATCGCCTTGTCGACGAGGGCCAGAGGTCCGTGCTTCAGCTCTCCCGCAAGAATACCTGGAAAAACCACGCACAGACGGAGAATCAGCGTGGCAACAAAACACAAGACCTTCCTAATCTCTCATAACCTCATAAAGATTAGTCTTCAAAGTCCAGGGGAGCCAAAAAAGAAAGTGTCCTAACCTCATGACCTCATAAGGATTGGGCTTCAAAGTCCGAGAGACTATACAGAAGATGGAGAGACACAAAGTTGACCAAATAGACAGATTGACACTGCGGATCGCAGGAGAAAGTGTCAAATTTGCAATTAACCAAGGAGGACGGAAGAGAATTCCAGTATGGAATGAGAAAAACGGAGAAGCTAAACATAAAGGGATCCGTTGAAGATGGCACGTTTCGAAAGCGTTTTTTGAGAAAAACGTTCCGCATTTCACCGATTCCGCAATTACCTTCCGAGTGCATGTATGTCAATTCCTTTATCTTCAACGCCCCCTCTAGGCAGGTGGCGTAATTAAACCCTCGGCCCATGATGAGTAGCGACCTCTGGTGGTAGAGGCTCTCGGCTAGCGCGAGTATCTCTTTATCCGACTGCAATATCTCTTGTATTTGCTCTGGAGAAAAATGCATTGCGATTTTAATACATCACATACATTGTTCGCGTGAGACCGCAAACCGAATATGAGAAGGAACCATCTCGAACAGTGGCGTCGGGTGGAAACGTTATGGCCCGTTTAATTATATAGTGTTATCATAATTAATTATATTTAATTAATTTAAATGCTGTGCGTGCAATGAGTGGCCAAGTGCGGCGTTGGTGTACATCCCCCCCTTATGCCAAACGCCACCCCCACCCCACTACATTGCAGATGGGCAATAAACGTCAAGTACCCCTGCACGTGTTACAGTGTTCAGAGTCACACTCACAGTTACGACGCGCTGCGTACCAGCCGTGCCCGTGCGCAATGTCGGGTGTTTGCCACATGGGTGGATGTGTATATATATACGATGCCACACGGGCACAGCTTACACTACCCGAGCAGATGCGGAGTTCGCGCGCGCGAGATTAGAGCTACGTCTCGCGGGGCGAGATTGAGTCACGCGCGAGGATTGCGCTTTTTACCGATAGATCGCCAGATGTGAATATGTCGACTGCATAACGTGGCGCCATCTGCGGGCCCGATATTGGGATAAATGCCTTGAGAGAAATGACGGCTGAAATAATGCCCTGGAATTGTGTCGGACAAAATTGTTCAAAGAAACGGCCCGCGCAAACCGACTCCCTGTGTCTAAGGTCGTGCCCTCTTGTGTCGAAAGTCGTGACCTCTTGTGTCTAAGGTCGTGCCCTCTTGTTTCTAAAGTTGTGACCTCACGTGTCGAAGGTCGTGATTTCTCGTCGTGTCCTTTACTCCACGGTGACGGATTTCGCCAAGTTTCTCGGCATGTCCACCTGAAAAATAGTGAGTGTGCTAATTGACAACGAGGCTCTGATGCAGATTCCTGACAATACAGTAAATTAAAGAGGGAGCTGTCTAATTAATTTCTGACAATACAGAGGAATTAACGGTCACTGGTCAACTGAACCTAACTGACCACATAATAACTCGCACGTAGCACGCAGCATGGACATCTGGTAGGAGAGCAGCCATAGTGGAACCACATCACACACTGACCTCTGATTACCTACTGACCCCTGATCCCGTAGCGACCGCTCAATAACTCACGTTACTAAATCAACTACTAATACTACTGAATAACTAAACCCAACTACTGTCCGCACACTCATGTTGCAGCCGCCCAACACGGCTATGTAGCAGCAGAACTCCCTGACCACTGATCACTTAAACCTGTCTACTATCTATCAATAATATATCAATCTATCTATATCTATCGATAACTCACGTTGCAGCCGCGCAGCACAGCCATGTGGTAGGACAGCAGCTGCAGAACTCCCTGACCACTGATCACCTACGAACCACTGGTCACCTACTAAACACTGGTCAGGCCAAAACAAAATATAGGTGTGGTGACCGTTTCATGCCGAAAAAAAATAGGGTAGGTAGGTAGGGAAAACATTTTATTTTATTGAAACATTTTATTTACGAACCATGTCCGAAGGATGTGCGTTGTGCCTTTTGAAGCAGGAACTGTCCAATTCATATTTTTCTTTATTTTTTTTTTAATTTTTGTGAATTCTTTTTTTTACTTTAAAGAAAATTGACAATAAAATGTTTAGCGTCGCTGGGAATAAATAGGGTCGGTCGGGAAAC